TTTTTGGCCATCTGAAAGCCAAGAGATGGAAGGCATCATTGTATCTAAACTAACTTAAACATTCCACATAATCATTTTGCTAAGGTAAGAAAACTATCTCTAAAAAGCAATGTCAAATTTAACATCTTTTTAACTCTAGTTCTTTCTTTTCCAGAATCCCATACCATTCAAGGGAAAGAATGCTTTAAAAAAAAAAAAGAAAGAAAGAAAGAAAGAAAGAAAAGAAAAGCCTCTTAACCAAAAACCTTCCATGAAAATCAGCACCTTGGCCAGCCACATCTTTGGAAATTCATTGAGGCGGGGATGAATTCAGCCTGAGAAGTATGATCTGTGGAAATAATCACCACGTCACCTGTAGCTTAAACTTTTAGAAACAGAATTAAAGTACATAGTCTAAAATATATACAATTCATCAAAAATATTCATGTTAGTATCTTGTGCCTCCCATGGCAAAATAATATATATGACTGTTTTCCACTCCCCAAAGTGAGTTCACCAGTGTGTTAAAAACCAAAATAAATTAAACAATCAGAATAACAGCTTCTAAGGCCAGAGATCTAGCTCTTCTGGAAAAACACCTTCTGGGCATTTAGTGAATCACAACTTGCTTACTGTATTTACCTACTGTTTTAGGCTGGGTTCTCTAGAGAAGCAAAACCAGTGAAGCCTGTACATACATGGAGAGAAAGGATAGAGAGGTAGAGATAGATAGGTAGGTAAATAGATAAGATAGACAGACAGACAGACAGCTAGATATGTCAAGGAAACAGCTCACGCAGTCGTAGAGGCTGGCAAGTCCCCAGTCTGTGGGTCAAATGTCAAGCTGGAGCCTTCTCCTGACTTAGCTGCAGGGGCAGACGAATCCAAGACCAGCATGCAATACAGCAAGCTTCTGGCTTCAGAGGCTGACAAATCCAAGATGAACAGATACAATGACAAGATGTTGGGTTCACAGACTGCGAAGGCAACAATCCCAAGGCAGGCAATACAGCAGGCCACTGGTTCAAGCCCAGAGGATGACAAGCCAGATGCAGAATCCCAAGCAATAAGGCAGAGACCTTTCCCAGAGCTTGTCCATATACACTGGAAGCAGGCCACACCCCTGAGAAAACTCCCTTTCAACGGACTGGCTGATAGTAGCACATCTCATCATGGAAATGATTACATTATATCAGGTCTCATTACAGGGGTAACTACATCATATATGGCACACAACCTTAATTTTCACACCTATAAAGCAGTTATTCAAAAGCTAATAACTTCGCATTTACTTATAATCATTACAAACTGACTTTTCACTCAACAAATACTGATCATTTAACATCTAGTGCTGGAGGGGACCCTAAAATGTCTTGAAAAACAACCTCTTCTAATTCTTAAATAGCCTCTATGCACGTCTATGAAGTGGTGATCAGTTCATACTTAAAGACTCCTTAAAAACTAGCATCTCAAATCAATGAGTTTAGCAAAAGATTACTCAGTGGGATGCTGGGACCATTAGCTGGTTGTCTGCAAGATATTAGCCAGATCCTCACCTGACACCAAATTCTAACATGAATTGTAGACAACTTAAAAAGTAAAATGGAAAAAATTAAATCATACAAAGAGAATTTTTGTGCTAAAAAAAACTAAAATATCAATTCAATATTGAAGTAGTCTCAGTATAAAAGCAACGAAAAAAACTAAAAAAAAATCAAGTGAACACATAAAAATTATAAATCTATTAAAACCCAACAGCACCTAACAACAACATTAAAAATCAAAAAGGGGCAAACAAATTAAGGAATAGTTCTACAATAAATAAATACATTATAATACATATCCTTAATTTACAAAAAAAAAAACTCAAATTTATTTTTTAAATATACAGAATTCCCAATAAATAGTAATCATAATAAAATGCCATACTTTGCATCTGCCATCTATCAAATCGCTCTCTATCTAGTTAACAAAAATGTTACACGAAAGGTGTGTGTCAGGGTTGTATCCCTTCGCCATACTTATCCAATCTATCTGTAGGCTACGCAAACAATCCAGAAGCTGGCCTATATGAAGAATGCAGCATCAGGATTAGAGTAAGAACTACTAGCAACCTGCAATATACAGGTCATACAGCATTGCTTGCTGAAAGTGAAGAAGACTTGAGGTGTTCACTGATGAAGATCAAAGACCACACAACCTTCAGTATATCCTCACAAATGGGCCAATAAGCAACATCATTCATGATCAACGAGAAAAGACTGAAGTTGTCAAGGATTTCATTGTACTTGGATCCACAATCAATGCCCATGGCACCAAACAACATATTGCACTGGGCAAATCCGCAAAAGACTTCACGAAAATGTTCAAAAGCAAAGATGTCACTTTGAGGACTACAGTGCACCTGACCCAAGTCATCTATTTTCAGTAGCCTCATATGTATGTGAAAGATGAACAATGAACAAGGAAGACCTGAGAAGAATTGATGCCTTTGAATTATGGCTTTGGAGAATATTAAATATACCATAGACTACGAGAAGAAAGGGAGCTCTGGTAGCATAGTGGCTAAGATACTTGCCTGCTAACCAGAAGGCTGGCGGTTCAAACCCACCAGCCACTCCTCGGAAGGAAGGTTGGGCAATCCTACTTCCGTAGTGATACTGCCTCGGAAACCTGAGGGGTCGCTATGAATCGGGCCCGACTCGACGGCACATAACAACAACAACAACGAGAAGAAAGAATAAATCTGTCTTGAAAGAAATATAGCCAGAATGAAAGGATGGTGAGACTTCATCTCACATTACTTTGGACATGTTACCAAGAGGGACCAGTCCCTGGAGAAGGGTATCATGCTTGACAGAGGGTCAGCAAAAAAGAGGAAGACCCTCAACGAGATGGATTGACACAGTGGCTGCAACAATGGGCTCAAGCAGCAACGACTGTGAGACGGTGCAGGACCAGGCAGAGTTTCACTCTGTTGTATAGGGCAGTTGAGTCAGAACCCAGTTAACAGCACTTAACAATTCCAATCAGTCAAACATTGCCGAGTGGGTTGTAAATTGGCACACCTTTTTAGGAAAGCATTTTAGTAAGATGTTCCAAGGATCTTAAGTATATTTTACCTTTTGATATATAATTTGATTTTCATTTCTAAAAATCTACCTTTAAAAAAATCCTAATGTAATAAAATATTTATACACAAAAAAGTTCACAAGATGTTACCAACAACAATGAAAAACTAGAAACACCAGATATTCAACCAACAATGGGGAAAGCATTAAGTAAATAATGGTCTGTCCATACAATGGAATGTAGCAAAAGTATTACTTACAAAGAATTTCAAATGGTAGCGGGAAATTCTTGTGTTGGAAAATCAAGTAAAAAAAAACTACCCCTGGTAACAGCTAGTGGTCACCAGAGAAGGGAGCTGGATTACTGAAAGGCATGAATATATTATCAATTTAAAAAAAGAAATAAATAACAAAAACATGAAAAAAGACCAGAATAAAATGTGCTAAAATGGACTGCCTTCGAATTTACCATACTGAATTTTTTCCTACTTCTTTACAGTTAACTGTAGTTTTCAAACAGTCTAAAATAAACACGTCATTTTCATAATCAGACTTTAAAACTTTCAGGGAAGAGAACTTACTGTCTTATGAACTACTCCAGCCATCATCTTTGGGTACCTCTGACTTTTAGAAAGTTCTTCTCTACTACATGATTGGCCCTTTATAGCTGTCACCCATATGATTTATCAGGCCACACAAAACAAATATAAACTCATGAGTTTACCCTTCTCAAAGCCACGAAGTCTCTGTTCCTCTCCTCATTAAAGAAACTTAAAAGAGAAAGGTACTGCTTACTGGTTAAGCACTTACTATGTATGTGCCAGTATTTGTGCAAGTATATTCTCATTTCATCTCTACAACCCTCAAGGTAGGTATTGCTGGCCTCATTTTAGAAGTTAACCATCTGGGCCTAGATCATCCTGATAATAAATAGCCCTTCAGCTGTTACTCTGGACCCTGTCTTTGGACAATACCTTCTTGGGTATCTCTTCTCCTCCTATTAAAAAAAAACAAAATTTTTTTTTTAAAAGGACACTATGGTTTGGAACTAGATCTAGGGATGCTGATACTACCTTAAAGCTGCAACTAAGGATAATACAAGTGACAGCATGAGATAGGAAACAACCAAAGGGAGAAGTGAGAGCACACAGAGCATGTGTTTGCAAGATAAGATTTCTTTATTCCTGAGTTTCAACTCCCTCCAGTGGAAAACTGGAAATCTCATTTATTTTTCAGTTGTAAGTTTAACGACAAAACAGTAGAAGCATACTCCAGGTTTTCTAGATTTTAAGAGTAGGAAAAAAAAAAAAAATTTCTTTGCAGTCCAAAGCCAATTCCCCAGCAACAGACAGCAAATAATTATGCTTGAAGAAACCTACCCTATGCCGAATAGCATTTGCATCTTTCTGTAATAGGGGAATTTAATAATGACTTTAGGTTCGTTGTCTAGGGCAGATAGGGTCAGTCTCTTTCAAGAACAAGTGACATATAAAAATCACTGAATTCCTGTCAACAACGATTTGTCCCGCCATCCGTGCCGGGACACGCTCAAAAGGTGTTTACTAATTTGCTGGATGAATGGGATGCTCCCTTTCCTGTGTCAACACCAGCGGCCTGGAATGGTGCCCGGGTCTCCTTCCTTTTAATCAGGAGGACTCGACGGCACTACACAACCCCCAGGGCCATATCACACCTTAACAAGGCCTCCCACCCAGCCTCAGTCATAAGGCTCCAGGACCTCGTCCCCACTCTGAGTATCTCCCTCAAACCACCTCAGGACTCGGACCCTCAGTCCTAAGGCCCATTCGCCTAGGATGATCCTTCTTCTTCATCACTTAGCCTACGCCCGCCCGTCGGTAAAATAACGGACCACGCCCGCAGGTCAATTACCACTTTTCTAAAAATAACCCATCGGCACCAGCCCACTGGCTGTTGCTGCCCTGGCGGTACCTGCGCCGCAGACCAAGCAGCCGGAGAGAACCAGAAGCAGCCGCACTGCCCCACCGCCCCCGGACCCCCAGCCCCAGGGCCCGGGACCAACTGCCAGCGAAACTGCCACTTTCATTCCTCCCGCCATAGTCGCTTCAAGCCTCCTCCTCCTCACGTGCCTCTCCCCAGCAACTAACTCTGAACAGGCAGTGCCAGCAGCGTATCAGCTGCAAGACCCGCCCCCTAACACCCAATCGGAAGGGCGGAGCTTCGAGTACTCAGGCCTATGAGGACCCTATGAATCCCGCGCCTTAGCAGCTGATGAGAGAGGGCGGAAGAGGCACCTTTCAGCCTATTAGAAAACGCGTCTCACTTTAGCAAGGCGACAGGAAGATCCCACCCCTTAACAACATGCTTCCGTCTCCAGTTTATTTACAACTGGGGTGATTGATGGTAAGGCTAACCAATAGAAAAGCAGAACCTAACTTGATACTGCAGTTCGCCCCTCCTTCCCTGGGTTAGTACTGAGTTCCTAACTGTATCTTTAAGTTTTTTAAGTGAAATCTGTAGTTGAGTCAGAACAGGTGCATTTACCCTTACTTTAGAGGTCTGGTGACATAGTGCTTAAAGCATTCGGCTGCTAACTAGAAACTGTCCCGCTAGAGACAGATGAAGTAGTCTGCTTCCGGAAAGATTACAGCCTTGTAAACCTTATGGAGCAGCTCTACTTTGTCCTAAAGGGTCACTATGAGAATCGACTTGATGGCAGTATATTTTTAGTGCAAATAAACGAAAGCCAGGTTCCTGTTTAGCCTTAAGCGCAAGAAAAGGCGCTCTGGTGGTGCATTGGTTAAAGCATTTGGCCGCTAACCAAAAGGTCTTCAGTCGGAACCCACCAGCTGCTCCTCGCAAGAAAGATCAGGCAGTCTGCTTCGGTAAAGATTTACAGCCTTGAAGCCCTTGGGGCAGTTCTACTCTGTCCTTTGATTCGAGTCCGAATCAACTCGGTAAGGGAGTGGGGTTGGTTTTTGGTTTAGTGCGAAAAAAGGCTTGAAGCCTTTTCAGAAATGATTTAAAAGCTGCACGTGCACCAAGTGAAGGTGATTGTGTTGAAGAATTTGTTGCGAATAAGGGTTGATTTAGTGGTTTCAAAGTGAGGACAAATTTACACAATGTTGAAGGGCAAGAAGGAGTTTTTTGGAAGTCTGATGTTCACTGAGGACTGCCTGTGTTGCCATGGAAACCGTCTCTAGTTCCATCAGTTTTTCTTTCTTTCCTCTCTACCACGATCTTTTTGTTATGGCAAGCCTATAATTGACATCTTTGTGAATAAGGTCTTCCTGAAGATAATTTTAAAAAAAAGTAAGACGGCTGATAAAGTGTGGACCTCCAAAGTTATAAATGCTTTAAAACAGCAGTCATTAAAAAAATTGTGTTGTCACTGTTTTACAGACATAAACATTAATGTTTAAAAATGTAGTCCTTGTCTCCCGTGCTCCTTGAGTTACTTATTGTTGTTATTGGTCTATTAGGAAGCCAGCAATGGAAAGCTATCAATAAGAGTTTCATGCTTGTACCAGACAATTAAATCTGATCCTAAATATGTAGTATTTTGACAGTACTTCTACTGGTAAGGGAGTACTGGAAGCCAGTCAGAATTTGAAAATAAACTTGAAACCCTCCTTAACAGTTTTATGTTTTTCATAAAGGGTAAGGACCCATTGCATAACATTTTTGGCAAGTATGAATACTTATGTTTGATCCAGAAACAATATATTTGAAACTGGTTATATTGGAAGCTTATTTTAAGTAAAAGGAAAAACAACTGAACAAAAGTTTACTGTTTTTAATAACCTAGAATTTGCAAAATACCACATAACATGGATTAACTTGGAGGACATTATGCTGAGTGAAATAAGTCAACCACAGAAGGACAAATATTGTATTAGTCCGTTATTGTAAAAACTAAAGGAAAGGTTTACATATGGAAGGAAATTTTCTTTGTTGGTTACCAGGGGTGGAAAGGGAGGGGAGGGAACACTGTTAGACAGATAAAGACAAGGATTGGTATAGGTGAAGAGAAGGGCAGTATACCAAAGGTGACTGAACAACACAGAGGCATTGAGGAAGAGGAAGACAGAGGTGCATGGGAGGTACAGACAACAAAGATGAACCCTTTTGCGCATAAAGTATTGCACTGTCAGTGAAGGCAAACATGGGTATACGGGTGAATAGATGGGTGGACAGGCTGAACTATTAGGTATGTCTATGCAGGGGGGAGTGTGCCCAAGACCATGTATAAGGTTGGCAGACAATGTTTCTACAAGTGTATTAGTATGTTCTGTAAAACTGTCCAGGTATATAGTAGAGCTGACAAGGGACAAAGTTGTAGTCACTTCTTGGCCACAGCCAGCTACCCAGAGGGAGTGAGTAGTTGGACCTGTGGGCTTGGAACCATAGTTCCAAGAGACATCAAGCTTAATTGGCATAACATACTACACAAAACATTGTTCCACATCCTGCAACTGGGATCTTAAAAGCTTGCAAGTGCTCATCTAGATGCAACGATGGTCTCTCCTCATCCAGAGCAAAGAAGAACGGTGAAAAACAAAGATTCATGGAAACAAGTAGTCCAACCCCTATAGGGGTTCCTATGAGTCAGAATCAACTCCATGGCAGTGTTTTCTTTCCTTTTTTTTTTTTTTTAATTTTATAGCACTCTGATCTGAGAAGTAATACTTTTGAGTATTTCTTTTTTTTTTTTTTTTTTTTGGAAGGGTTGGTTCAATTGTTTCAAAGTGAGGGTAAATTTACATAACATTAAAGGGCAAATAAGGAGCTTTGGTGGCGCAGTACCTATGGCATTTGACTGCTAACCAGAAGGTTGGTGCTTCAAAGCCACCAGCCGCTCCAAGGAAGGAAGATGGGGCAGTGTACTTCTGTAAAGATTTACCGTATCGGAAACCCACTGGGAGTCGCTGCGAGTCTGAAGCAACTCGATGGCACTGACTTTGGTTTTGGTTTGAAAGGGCACATATGAGTTGTTTGTAAGTACGTCAGATGTTTGTAACTCAGAGGCTTACTTTGTAACTAGAGGCATAGAGATCAGGATTTACAACACATATTTTTTGGGGACACAATTCAATCCATAACAACCTGTAAAAGGTTGAATTGGCAAAGTTGTGTAATAGATATATGTACAACAACTACAGCAAAAAAAGGCTGGGTGCTGAGGTTGCTTATGCACAACCAAACGTCTCATGGAATTTGGTTCTTTCCTCTGGAGGTTTAGGATCATGGATTTCATAGCCCATCCCAGCCAATTGGTCCAATATTGTGGTTAGTGCTTCTGTTCTATCTCCTGCTTTGTAATAGTGCCTGGTGACTTAAAATCTTGCAAGTGGCCATTTAAGTTACAACTGTTGGTCTCTTCAAAGAAGACTCAGGAATAGTAGGAAGAAATGGAATGTGTGGCTAATTGCCTCCATGAACACTTGCTTCCTTTGCAGTAAGACCAGAGAAACCTGGCTACCATTATGGAACTTTTTTTTTTTTTTAATAATATTTCATTGTGTTTTTGGCAAAGGTTCACACAAGTTTAGGTTCCCAATCAATAATTTCTTCATGGGTTGCTCAGTGACACTGGTTACATTCTTCACAATGCATGGGAATTCTCATTACTTCTGTTCTGGTTATTCCATTTCCATTAAACTAGCTTCCTTGATTAGGGAGCAGTGAGTTTATGTTAATGGGGGAAAAATAACTCTGAAAAGGAGAATAAGAATGGTTGCACAACTTGAAGAATGTAATCAAGGTTACTGAATTGTACATGTAGAACTTGTTGAGTTGATGTATGTTCTGTTGTGTATAGTTTCAGCAACAATGACAAATAAAATAATATTTAAAATAACAGGGAAATGAAAACCTTAAAAATTGCCTCCAATATTGACATTAAGTCAATAGTAAGTGAAACAACAAAGTGTCTTCAGTATATTAAACTTTTGCTATTTGTGCATCTGTAATTTAGTTTTCTTTTTAAATATAAAATATTACCTTTAATGAAATTAAAACTCTTGAATGCTAACATTTTGTATATACACGAAAAAAATGCTTTGTTGGAGAAAAAAAAATTCTTTGTTGGAATTTTAACAGCTAACGTGGTTGAAGTCATCCTTTCTCAATTATTTTTTTTTCCAGTTGTTTGTTTCATTTTGTTTTTAAATATGATGCAACTTAAAAATTTCTTTGCACCAGATGTATGTGAAACATTATTGCAGTGGATCACAAAATGAATGTATTTAATGAGGAAATGTTTTGCACTGTATTTTTTGTTGTCTTTTAGAAAAGTTACATTTAGATCTATTCTGAAGCTGTCATTTTTAAAAAAATAAGATGTTATAGGCATCACATAAAAGTGTAATCAGAGGGATTCTTTCTTTTTTTTTTTTTTTTTTGGAAGCAAAATGAATGTGAAGATTAAGAAGTTTTTTTATTCCTCACATTTTGTGAGACAAATAAGATTATCTCCATTTAAGAAGCAACCAAGTCTGAAATGGGCCAAGGAGCCTGCCCAAGGCCTTATATTTAATTGGATTGGGAAATGGTTCAAACCCAAGTCTTATAGACCCAAAGCTTGAGTTTATTTTATGCATTAGGGCCCTTCCCATTACATGTCTTCACATACTGAGGGCCATGCAGAACACCTAGCGCATAACACCAAAAAGCCAAACCCACTGCCATCAAGTTGATTCCAACTCCTTGCTACCCTATAGGACAGAGTAGAACTGCCCCATAGGGCTGTAAATCTTTATGGAAGCAGACTACTACCTTTCTCCCGCTGTATATAATAATAGTAGGTGCTCAATAAATGGGCTCAAATATAACAACAGTTGTGAGGATGGCCCAGGACCAGGCAGTGTTTCATTCTGTTGTAAATAGTAGGGTCACTATAAGTAGGAATCGACTCCGTGGCACCTAACAACAACAAATGTTAACAGAAATGGAAGCATTTTTCAGAGGATCTTGTGGTGGGTAGTATGAGACAAAGAACTTGGTTTGGCCTTTGTCTCTGGTTTCTGGAAAATGCTGTTGTTATGTGCCATTGAGTCGGCCCCAACTCATAGTGACCTCTCCCCAACTCATAGTGACTTCTCCTTGGGT